AAAGCAATTGAACTATTGGTTTTTAACAAGAAGTCGAAAATATCACTTTTTACCAAAAATTACAAAAATATTCACCAAAATTAGAGAATTGAAGATATCATCACGAAATGAACAAATCTGAGAGAGGTCCACATGTAGTACCTATATATGTAGTATCAAATCAATTGGACTCTATCATTCTGTTCTAATAGCTGAAACATATTCCTGTGAGTTTTCATTTGTCGAATGAACTGTTCATAGCAGTGCTTATATTGATTTTCTGACATCTTGTTTTCTGTAAAGATTTTATTGGTAGGTTTGCAAATGTGTATCAGACTGTGCAATCTCTCCATGAGTCGGTTTTGAAACCCAGTATGGGATTCTGAGATACATTACCAAGGATATTATTACAAGATAAATCATTTGCTTCATTGAACACATACAACAATGCATATTTCCACTGAGATCAGTGACCTTTGATGTGTATCACCAGTGATCAGTCAAGTAGAAACAGTCAAAATATTTTATCAGATTTTCTCAATTTTTGCATGATATTTTCATACAGGACATCTGTTGTTCAAACTCAGGGAAGACTTTATACTGATGAATAAGGTGACCAAAATTTATAAAGTTTGGAATAGAATTAGTAAAGTTATTATGCACACAATAACAATTATTAACGACGACGACAACGACGACGACAACGACGACGACGGACAAAATTTTCCCCTTAATATACCTTTCCCTTCCATCTTTGATGGTACGGGCAAGGTAAAAATGACAAAAATATTCACCAAAATTAGAGAATTGAAGATATCAACATGAAATGAACAAACCTAAGAGAGGTCTACCCAAGGTACATATAGACCAAGTATCAAAGCATTCAGGCTTGTAGTTTTCAAGAAGAAGTCGAAAAAGTAAAACATTGACATGGACGACGACGACGGACAATCACTCATATGATAAGCTCCGCTCGACAAAGTCGACAGCGGAGCTAATAAAAAAGATTTCTTTAGAAAGCTGCATACTGTTTTACATGATTCGTGACTAGAATTTCAACTGATAGATCATAGTGCTTAGAAAAGATGAATCATTCACTTCACAAATGAATTATAATAAATTACATCAAAAGCTTTGGCTGAAAAAACCTGTACATTTTTTTTTGCATTGTAGCATTTTCATCTACTTTGGGTGTGACTCAGCTTATTATACCATTTGTAATATGAATTGTGATTGGCCCGTATGAGATTTTTAATGTAAAAAACAACATTTTCACCCAATTGTTAAGTATGTACATTGTAGTATTGGTATGCTAATCTCAAATGACTAACAGGTTCAAACAACATACAGGTGTTATAAATAATGTCTACACTGATCAACGTAAAGACATGCAAGTTGTGCTGTTTATGAGTAATCATTCTAACATTTCAATCTGAACAGCATTGGGGAATAAGTAACAATATACATTATGTACATGTATTATTGAAAACAATACTATCAACACTATGGGTACTAGTACATAGAAATAATGTAAGAACGACGGTTGTGTGCTCAAAGTCATGATAAGTTATTTAGTTAGCCAGCGTACAATAAATACTATTTTTGGTTATTCCACAGGGAGTTGGACAAACTTATGTATTTTAATAAATTATTAAATAATAAATTGTTATACAACGTTTCTTTTAACCCCCCTCCCTTTCCTGGTATCGATTTCAAGTAATCACTGATCCTTGTTTATACCACTCTTTCCTTTATCACAACTTTGTTACGCGCTAATGTTATATGCAAATGTTAATGCGCTATGTAGACACGCCCTGTTATAGTAAAATATCCCAAGGGTTGAAACACGCCAGGACTGTGGCATCAAATCACGCATTCAAACCTTTCAAAGTTTGTTTTCTTTACATATATGCATCTGTAATGACATAGATGGCATTAGAAAATAAAACAATTGCATTTGAACTTGAATATTTGTCAAATTAAAACTCATTGCAATCAAGCGCCATTAGCAGGAGCACAACCGTAAAT